ATTGTACGTTTATAAGTCATGAATGGTGTTGGAACATTTCATAACATGCTGAAAATACAGTGCAATAAAAGAAACTGTTTTGTTTTGATATGCATAAAAATTCATTTGTAAACAAAACAAATTCATTGGTCCTTCTGTCCATTTGCCTCTGATCAAATATTAAAGTTCCACTCAATGAGCTTGGCTAGCTATTACTTCTGATCATCATACTATTGGACAAAAAAATACTTCAAAAAGAAGTATCTTGGTTTTTTTTTTCATGTTCTAGTCCTAGATAGATTATATATCCTTGAGAAACACTAGACAGTTTCTGCTCTTTACTTTTTGCATTTTGATTGTATGTCGCTCTTGCTAGTAGTTAGCATAGCTCTTGCTTACTAGCTCTTGCTAGTAGTTAGCATCTACAGTTCGATCGGTTTTCATTGTTTTCTAACATTTCTGCAAAGGGCCCTTTTTGCTAGGCTCCATTGCAGAGAAAGTAGAGTGAATATAAAAAGTACACTTTTGAGATGTAAAAAAAATCAGAGCAAGAAAAATAACTTTTCCCCCTCTTTTAATATAACATATAAATTGTACAATTTAATTGAAAAACAAATAAGGGGGGAAATAAAAAAATATACAATAACATGGTTGCATAAGTGCACACACCCTTTATAAGTAGGGATGTGGTTGTGTTCAGAATTAATCAATTGCATTCAGACTGATATTAAATAATAATTCATACCTGACATCAATTAAGATGAATGCTTGATGCCATATTAAGTTTAGCTGTTAATAGGATTTTTCCTGACATTTACTCAGTTGCTTTTTACAGCAAAAACTATGACCTGCAAAGAGCTTATAAAGCACCAAAGTGATTTCATTGTTGGAAGGTATTAGTCAACAGAAGGATAGAAAATATGGCACAACAGAACTTCCGGTTTGCAGGGCTTCAGCGGCAGGCAGGAATCTGCGATTGTGCGTGGTTTCTGCCTGGGCTCGCCGCTGGAGTGCCCCAAACCAGCTGGCTTTGGGGCTAAGCCACCCCGTAGAGGTGGTGAAGAGGGGGGAGATTGCCAGCAGGGTCGAGGGGAGCCGCATCTCTCCTCCTCAGCTGGCCAAACTCCCTTTCCCGAAGGCAGTAGGAGCGGTGGTCAGAAATGGCCACCTCAAAGAAGCACTCAACCGGAAAAGAAAGTGCAGGAGGAAGATAAGTGAAAGTTTTGGTTGATCGGGATAAAAAGAACAACTAAGGTACCCTGGAATTTAAATTTTATAAAAGATAACATCGCTCCCAAAGAAGAGTCGGAAGCAGCGAAAGAAAGTGAAAAGGGAAAGTTTTTTTTTTTCTTTACTCTCCTTCCTCACATTGACAACAAAGAGAGCTGAATAACAAATTGGAAAAATCCGCTTTGGCACTAAATGCCAAAGGGACAATAAAGATTTCTGGACACTAAAAAATCCTTTTTTTCTATAAGGAGGAAGGGAGAGGAAAAGAATAAAGGCAGGATTTGGAAGAAGGAGACTGCCTGGACTTTAAAAGAATCTAAAATAAAATCTCAATAAGACTTCTAAAAGATACATTTTAACTGGAACTTTGGAACTAAATAGTAACCCCAGGAAGAGAAAGTGTGCTTGGTGACTTTGGGATTTTTGGATATTATATTTGAATGACTAAAAACAATTGGGTAGCTGTTTAAAAAAATTCTACAATGGCATCACTTATGGATTAACTGAAAATGGAATTTAAAAAATATAAACAAGAGACACAAGAAGGGAAGGGCTTCTTTGGCTCCGTTTTTCAATTCTTAGAAATGGCGATCTGCATCTTTGAGAAACAACAAGAAAAGACTGCGCAACTAGAAGATTGGGACAAAGAAGAAGCCATCTTTAATGAACAAGTAACTCTATTTGGGGAAGAAAGGGGACAGTGGGGAAAGAGAATGGAGAATTTAAGACTTTACAAAGGTTTGGAGCAAGATGTAAAGAAACAGGACTTATTCAGAGATAATGGGTAAAAATTTAACTGAAAAAGGGATTCTTTGAAGGTACATAAGATTGTATTGTTATATTTGTAATAGAAATAATGTTAGAAAATTGGAAACAACGTATGATTAAAAAGTGGGATGAAATTGTAATTTAGTGAAACTTTTGTGAACAAAACAAATGAAATAAAATAAATGAGAGAATTGACTTAGGAAGGAACGGGAACATTTTAATTACTCAATGTTTTATAAAATATAAGTGAAGTGGGGAGGAATTAACTATGGAAAGTTTATAAGTGTTCCCATAGAAGTATGATACTTATCTGAAAAGTAATGTGTAAAACGTTAAGATTTAAATGAACATTAATATTAATGATAGAATTGAATTGGTATAGATTGTTGTTTTAATTATATTATACACTTATAATTTTTCTTTTTTTAAAATACAGTGTGTAGTTTTAGAATGTACCAAGCAGAATCCGAACAGAAGTTATGTATTATATTAAGTGTTATAATTTTAGGGGAAATATATAAAGGTGACATACTCCAATCAGTGATTACAGGAGAAATTTTGTTCAATGAGAAAAGATAGTAGACAGTTGAAACAGGACAGACAAAGAATATAAGTACAATGATTTGAATTGAGATGAAATAAATAAAATTAAATTAAAGTTAAAAGAGGGGAGAAGCTATATAGAAAATGTAGAATAGTAATAAGATATGGAGTGGAATATAAAAATGAGCATGAACTTGAATTTGTGTCTGTACGAAGAGATGTAACCTGGGATTATGCTGCTTTCAAAAAAGATGTTTTATGTTTATATGTTTTGTTTGTTTATGTTTGTTTTTAAAAATCAATAAAATTTTCAAAAAAAAGAAAAGAAGATATGGCACAACAGTAACATTACCAAGAATTGGATGTCCCTCCAAAATCGATTAAAAAACAAGACTGAGCCCAGAGGCTGCCAAGAGACCTACAACAACATTAAAGGGCTGCAAGAAGTTCTGGCAAGTGCTGGTTATGTACAACATGTGACAACAGTCTCCCATATTCTTATGTCTGGGCTGTGTGGTAGAGTGAGAAGATGGAAGCCTTTTCTTATAAAAAACACACACACACAAAGCCTGGCTACATTTTGCAAAAAGATGCATCAGGTCTCATCCCACATTTCTCATGTGGGAAATGTGTTATGGTCTGATTGAGACCAAGGTTGAACTTTTTGGCCTTAATTCCAAAAAATATATTTGTCGCAACTGTGCATCATCTAAAGTACACCATATACAAAGTAAAGCATGATAGCAGCATTATGTTTTGGGGCTGCTTGAATTAGGGCTATAGTCAAGATGATGGGAATTATGAACAGTTCCAAATATGAGTCAATTTTGACACAAAACCTTCAGGCTACTAAAATACTGAGGAATTTCATCTTTCAATAGGACACACAAGCATACCTCCAAATCAACAAAATAGCGGCTTGACCAGAAGATCAACGTTTTGGAATGCCCCAGCCAAAGCCTGAACCTGAATCCAATTAAAAATCTGTAGGTTGTCCTGAAAAGAGCTGTGCACAGGATAGGCTCTCACAATCTGATAGATTTAGAGTGCTTTTGCAAGGAAGGGTGGGCAAAGATTCTCAATTTTTCAGTTGAATTGTACAGCTTATGTGCTATATTTAAGGATGGTAAAAAAAATTCTGAAGTGATTTTTCTTGCTCTGATTTTTTTAAACATTTCAAAAACCTGCCATTTTAACGGGTACACAGACTTTTTATTTCCACTGTATATATAAACATCAGTTTCCTTATAAAACAAGTCTGCCTTGGGATTACTTTCTAGTGAGTCAGCTAATTGTAGTATCTAACTTGAAGCAAGCACATTTTAGAAGGGGAGGGTTTGTTCACACATTTGGACTGCAGGTAATCCTTAAGTTACAACAGCAGTTGTGGCTGGAACTTCCAACACTAAGCAATGTGGTTATAAAGCGCAACCATCACATGGCCACATCAAGGGGTGGGATCTGACAGGGTTAACTACCGGTTCGGTGATTTATGATGTGCTTCCCTGCACGCTGCGCACGCGCCTGTAAATCACTATCAGCTTGCTGCCTGGACAGTTGAGCAGCGCTGCGTGCAGAGAAACAGCATTTGAAAAAACACTTTTCCTGCTTTTTCAACTGTAGCTATGCCTCGCATGGCAGCTGAGGTTGAAAAAGCAGGAAATAAAGGTCAGGTAAGAGCCCAGGCAGGCGGGTGGGTCAAAACATCAGAAACATAGAACTGGTTCTCTGTCTGCTGCTCTTCAGAGCTACCGGTTCTACAGAGCCAGACAGAACTGGTAGAATCCCACCCCTGGCCACATCGCTTAGCAATCCTAGCAGTTCAGTTGCCATTGTAACTCCAGGACCATGCAGGTCATTAAACAAGGACCTCACATGAACATGACATGGGCAGGCTGGTGAGTATGACCTACAAATGGTTGGATGGATGCCAAGAGCAGGTGCCACAAATGGGTGCTATATGAAGTGCTGGCAAGTGAAAAAGCAGTGGGGACAACTTGTGATGACCTAGCTTTCCCATTGATTTTTATCTGTGGGAAGCTGGCAGGGAAAGTCGCAAATAGTGATCATGTGACCACAGTGTGCTGCAGCCATCATAATTGTGGTCCAGGTGTCAAAGGCCCAAATTGCAATCACATTGCCTTGGAGATGCTGTGACAATCACACTTTTGAGAACCAGTACCCATGAAAACTTCGGTCATCGAACCCAAGGATTACCTTGCATTGATGAGGTTATTTAATATGGGTAATGAAACATCTGCAAAAAATAACCAAGCTCAAAGAGCACACCAAAGACCACTTATTTCAACCCTGAGCTACAAATATTCTCCTTTATTGATACCAAGGATTGCCTTTAGTGAGATCATCTTAACCTATGCAAGTACATCTATGAAAAAAGTAATGTTAAGTTTATGCCAATGAAAATTAACATTTTTGACAGATTAACAAGTATAATTAAAGACTAAGAAACAAAACATACATTACAGGACACTGTTCCCAATGAGTGGAGTATTTTATTGATAGTAACCTCACAACCAAATTATAAGACTCGAAAACCCACTTATTTTATAATCAAGAACTTGATCAAAATAAACCCAGTATTTGCATTTAACAAAATACTATAGTAATCTGTAAATCTCTTTGTCATACAAAATAATTGTATTGCACTTACTCTATTCTAGTTCTCTTCAACAGGGCTAAAGTGCTATAATCAGTGTTGACGGCAAATTTGCATCGTGCCCTAAATGATACTGCAGTTCTTTTATTTACACCAAATAAGATATGCTATGAAGCAGCAAAACATTTGGAGTTCATTTTTTTCATGTACAAATTAAGGTACGTAGCTGGCTATTCTAGTGTATTAGAATTCCGGAATGTGTAAGGCCTGTTTTACACCTGCATTTGGTTAATACTTAAATCATTCTACAATTCAAAAAAAAAGCATTTGAATAAGAAAAGATGTAGGTATGTAACTCACTTTTATGTGCATTTATTTGATATCATATCCCACTGTACTAGGCAGGCCCCTCGAAGCAAAGCACTTAAAGGAATTTAATAAGTTGCTTAGGATATTCTCTTTCTGAAGGAAGATCTGGTAGAAAAGTATAAAAACTGACTTTCTAAGTTTGGTTTATAAATAATGATGGAAGAGATCTGAACAGAAAAAAACTGCAGTCTGTGCAATATTCTCAGTTTTTAGAGCAAAATAATTTGCATCTAAGGTGGTACTGTTATAATTTGAAAAGGAAACTATACCTGGTAGATGAGTAACAGGTTGATTTCATAAATTTTCAGGGGCTTATTTCCACCCTGCAACACTGGAATACTCTACCTGATAGATGTAAAATCACCCTATTAAGTCTGCAGATAATCTTCCTGATGGAGAGGAATCAGAACTGGTTTTAATCCCCTGATTTTTGTGAAAGTTTTGAATGGATTTGCCTAAATAATTTAACAAGTATCGAAAACTAAAATCGCTGTTCACAATTTCTGCTGTTGGGCTGCCTTGAGCTTAAATAAGCTATTTTCCATTTTGGGATCTTCATGATTCTGAACTAAAAAAGGAGGAAAAATAATTAAATTGGAGTAATTAAGTCATCTTTATGTTACTCATATTACTCTTACTTGGGAAATTATCATTCACATTCCACATTGTAGAAAACTTTCATTTGTAAAGCCTTTCTTCCAGGCAAGATTTAAATTAAATTAAAATTAATTAAAAGTGAAACAAATTATAATGCAATTTTTCTATGCCAGAACATGAAAATTACAAAAAATTACCATTGAAGCTATTTTGCTGGCCAATGAGAGCAGCCTGCTTATCTGTTTCGGATTCTGCCTCATTTGTATCGAAGTTGTAATCGACCCCTTTATTATCCTGGCCCACTCTTTTGATTTCACCTGTGAAAACAAGTCAAACAATAATTTCATGCATACAACTTCATGCAAACTGAAAAACAGTATACTGATTTTATTGCAAACATAAGTTTTGCTACACAATAACACATATTAAGAGAAAAAAATAGACTAATGTAATTAATCATATACATCATGAAATCATAAATCAAGTTTGGATTTCCATATTGTACTTAACTATGGTTTGCCAAATGCTTATAATAGATGGATTTACATCACACTTGAGCCAGAATCAAACATAACAGTTTGATCAAGCAGAATGAAACCATGCATTCTGGTTTCTCTTTGGATCATGTAACAAATCAAATTACACTATTTACATTGAATACCATCTATAACGGGTGTCAAACTCAAGTCCCGGCCCACAGGGTGCTTAGAACTGGCCCGTGGGGCTGCCCTGGAAAGAGTGAAGGACCAGCCTGTGGTGCCTCTGCCAGCAAAAACGGAGTTCGCGAGGGCGGCACTTGGCCCTCCCAAACTCCGTTTTCGTTGGCAGAGGGTTGCAGGATGCTGTCCCAAGTGAAAACAGAGTTTGGGAGGCTCTTTTCACTGGCAGAGCACTCGGGCCACCACAGGCGCCCCCTGACACGAGTGGCTTCATGTTGGCCAGGCCCCCTGGCCAGGCCCTCCCAGCCCTCCAAGGTCAAACACAACCCTGATGCAACCCTCAATCAAATCAAGTTTGATGCCCCGATCTATAATAACACAACAATTCCATAAACATTAAATCAATTATTCCACTTCCTCAAATACTGCAACCCTGATACAAACAGAGAAAGCAATCTTTATACTAACCATTTTGATTAGTTTCCTGGTCATCCTGCTGTAAGTCATCATTTAAGAGTTCCTCGCGTTCAATTTCTTCAACTTTGTTTGCTGTTTTGATGTTTTGGTGGCCGAGGAGTTCTAAAAATTTGCCATTCTCGCTTTCTACTAAAATTTCTCCAACTACATTACTAATTTGCTCATGGTGACTCAGATCTGTTTCTGGTTCAGGAGGAAGTGCTCTATGATCACTGCTAGAAACAGAAGGTATTTGTAGATGGCCTTGATTGAGAAGGATCTCCTCTTTCCTGGACTCCTTATTAGGAAGGTCACTGGTTCCTTACATAAACAGAAGAAATGTTTTTAGAACTGATTTAAATAATTCAAAATTTAATATGAACGATATTTTCCCCTATATTTGAATTACAGAATGGGATGTTCAGATCAAGAAAATCTAAAATTCTTCCAGTTCTTGGGAGTTGATTTGGAAGCTTTAAACTTAAAAAAAGCTAATGAGGCAAATTATTCAATATGCAGCTCCACTTTTGGAGATCACCATAAGTCTCTCTAAGGTTCCAATATAAAAGATATGTTGCTCTGGGTTGAACTGGGGAGTCCTTGGTGTCCTCTGTGAGTGAATGTTTGCTTGAAGACATTTCATTGCCTGACTAGATAACATTATCAGTGCTAGTGACTCTTGGATTTGCTCCTTGTACATATACAGATAGCCCTCAGGTTACAATCATAATGGAGCCTACCCATTACAGTCAGTATTTGGGACAGCCACTAAGTGACCTGCCTCACTGAGTGACTACTTCATCCCTGCTCTCCACAATGCATTTGTTAACCAAACACGCAAGTCGTTTAGTGGAGGATGGGGTGGCCTCAGGTGGGGGAGACCCTGGGGGTCCAGCATTAGCTTAGTGGCTCTAAAGCTAGCTTTAGTGAGAAAAATAAAATCACAAGGATTTTTTCCTCCATATCACTACCCATATCTTTACCAGTGTTAGCCTTGCAGACCAAAGACTAGTAAGAAGAGGAAAACTGAGAGTTCGCCAGCATTATTTTTTGTTCAGAACAGTGGCCATTGTGGGATTGTGCCATGTGGCCTAGCAAGAGAGTAGTCTATCCTTCCCTTCCCAATTTCCTGAGCAATGAAGACATTTTGAAAGGTGAGCAATTGGGAGGGGAAGGGGAGGAGCGTGTGGAATTGGAGTGGCAAAGCAGGTGTAGTGTCTGGGGGACCGACCTGGCAGACCAGGAAGTGAGGGGAAATAGACAAAGGGACACACTGCAATGTTTTTGCAGCTGATCGTAACAGTGAACAACTACAGGATGCTACAGTGGGCATAACTTCAGGACTGGGTCATAAGTATCTTTTGGGAGGTCCTTTTTAACTTCAAATATTCAATGAGTGATCAGTTGTAAGTCAAGGACTACCTTCACCCTGGCAGTGTTGGTGAGGGTGAAATTTTCACCTTGATAATTCCTTGATCAGGATATTGTTTTCTATTTGGTTGATTATTTCAAGATTGACCTTGAAAATTCTCCCTTTCTCAAATCATGGGGAAATTAAGGTATAGAACTCTATTGGGCAATCGTATCGGGAAGAAGGTTTATATTTGAAAGTTGCCAGAAGAAACATGCCACTTGTCCAAAAGTTGATGAAGGGTTTTTCCTGAATTACTTAGACTGTGAATTGAAAGGAAAGTGGTACTCTTGCAATTACCCTTCTTTGAAGTATGACCTTTAGTAGTGCACATATACACATGTGAGTAGTATGCAAAATTCAGCAACAAAGTGGAACAAGAGACTCTATAATATTCTCCAGCTCATACTCTTCTGGGAGCAGTTTGGCCTGTTCCAGAAATAAATTCTGCAGATTGAAAATGTTTCAAAGTGTCCTGGATATGGCATTCATATTCACATTCACTTCAATATTTAAATGACTTATTCAACTGCATGTATGGAAGACAGGCCATGACAGTAAAACAAAATTTATGAGCCACATTCATCCACATTCCACATAAAATCTTAATGAAAAATCAAAATATCATTAACTGCTATATTTTTTACCCTTTTCTCTATGATGATTCAATTCTTCTTTGTTTAGTACAGACATTGGTTTTGAATCTAATTTCATAGACTTATTAGACAGATTTTTTTCTTGAAGTTCATTTTCCTGGTTTGTCAGATCATGAGGATCAATCTCTGTCTGTTCAAAATCCTGCATCTGTATATTGGCCTTTTAAAAAACAAAAGACAATATTTTTCTTTTTGTTTTGTTTCATATTGAAAAACATTGCAGAGTAGTCTGTCCCAAATTTTATCCTGCAGAATTTCTGACCTATATTTTTTTCTGCTTAGCCTTCCTGGGAGGTATAGTTTAATACACCTGAAGGACATAAGGTTGAGAAAGCAGATATAGAATTCTTTAGCAGAATATAGTGCTGGGTTAATACATAGTTCTGTTTACCTACACAATTGTGTGAATATATTCAGAATATATTTAAGAGCATACCTTATCACAAAATTATGTCCAATCTGTACATATGCAAAATTCTTGGGTAACCATAATCAGAAGAAAAGGGAGATCAATATGTTAAAAACTAAAGAAATTCCAAGAGTTGGAAATAGTATGTAAGTGCTGGAAGTGTTCATGTAGAAACCCCTAATGTTTTCAATAATTTTCCCCTGAAGACAATTACACCGATATTTTAGAACAGCATATCTAGAAACAGTGGGTATACCTCAAAATATTTGCATTGGTTTCTAGGTCCAATTCCAGGTGCTGGTTGTTATCAATAAAGCTCTGTCTCATAGAGCCTGCAATACCAATTCCAATTGTCCAGTAATATCTGACACAGTTGGCATACCTTCACTCTTATGGCACCTGCTCTCTGGATTAACATTCCCCTAGTATACTCTCAATCTACTATCCTTAAGAGAATATTCAAAATTCGTCACTTTCCTCATGTGTTGGTCCAGGCCCACTTCTGCATCAATCTTTTTTTGTGATTTTCCCTTTCTCCTCAGAATGGATACTTCTATGTAATTTTAAATTTGTACTTGTTTTATTTTAACTTAAAGGTATGATTCATTGTCATTGGTTTTTTAGTCTTCCTATCCAGTGTTTTTAGTTCTGCTTGAGTTCAGTGCACTATTCCTGTTGTTTTTCTAATGACAGAAATTGCCCAGATATTAATTGCCTTGATAGGATTTCTGCCACTGAATTTAAGATCTTGTTCACTCTCATGTTGTGTTCTTTTCTAACCTTTTTATTCAGCGTGCTTAGTGTTGTCAACTTGAAAGATACCCAAGTATTCATAGTTTTCTTACTCCAAACTCTCCCTAGTTCATCTTTGCTGTCTGAGCTACTTCTGGCAATGCTTCAGTTTGCTTGGTCTGGATAGCCAATTGCAGTTCTTTTACTTCTACTTTTGTGAATATTTTATTTTGTATTATAAATCGATATGGATTCACTAGCCTCTGTTGTTTCAGATTTTGGAGGTTCTTTCTACAATTGGTGCTCTCTTTTCAGATATCCTTTTCCCATTGGACTTTGTTTGTAATTCAAAGCATTCTTTATTTTCAGTTTTTTAAAATTTGTGATGAGTAAGCAACTTTTCTTCCAATAGTCCTGCAACTGCTGGTTCTTATTGCCCAGCCAAAAATCTTGAGCCACTTGTTACCAGATATCCAGGAACTCCAATATCTAGCATGCCAATTAATTCACCTGGACAAGGACTGATCCAGTACAGGTTTCTGTAAGTTACTACTCACCATACTGTTTATGGGAAAGACACTTTGTTTGGCTACTTACTCGGATGGGACCTTACCCTCCAGTTTGGTTGATCCTCTGACATAGTTCTCTTCTTTGTTAAAGCATGCAAACCCTACAACCACTTCATTGGGACTATGTATTACAATCTGTTCACAACAATGTGAAGTCACAACTGCCAGTTCTTTGCCTGATGTTAACCTTCATATACATCTTCCCCAAAACCCAGGATAGTGTAGTATATAGGTGGATCTAAGCAGTGTGGTCTTTCATGTATTTATTTAGAAAGTTTACATGATTACCCGACTCCCTCACAGTGACTCTGAACAGCTTACAGAAATAAAACCCCAATACAAAACCCAATAACCACCACCACCCCCAGCAATCAAACCGATGGGGGTCCCCAGGCTCCTGGCAAAACCATGTCTTCAGGATCTTTCAAAAGAGTGTCAAGGTGGGGGTCAATCTTATTTCAGGCAGAGACACTACAGAGAAGGCCTTCTTCTTCATCCCATAAGATGGGTCTCTTTAAGAGAGGAGACCCATAACACACCTTGCCCTGAAAGGCCATAACTGACCTATAACCTATAATTGTACAAAGACCCTCCGGGCCACAACCGCCACCTTTTCCTTGAACAGGAGTCATGAGTCTAGGAGTACCTCAAGATTACACACCAGGTCTGTATGGGGCAGTATGACTCCATCCAAGAACAAAGATGGCAATTATCCATGGACCAAATAACCCAGCGCCATACTGTCCTGCCAGGGAGGTTGGGGTTTATTGGGTTTAACCCAACTATATTGTTCTGAATAATGAGATCATTCAGTTTGTATAAAACTATAAATCATCTACAAAAAGCATTACAATCTTACTTGGTTTATTCCTGATATATTTGTATTATGTTCTTTTTTCTTTTCTTGTTGTACCTTGCTATCTTCTGGTGATGCTTTTAGCTTTTCTTCACATTGTTCCTTCAGTTCCTCCATCTTACTTACACATTTAGACCTTGAAGCAAAGAACAGAAATTCGTAGATTTTAACGGGTACAGGTATGCAGGTCTTGGCGTGTTCAGGTCTTTTCCCGTCTAAGATTGAGAGTATCTTGGCAACGTTTCGACGAGGTCCCACTCGCCATCTTCAGGCTGGTGCTTTCAGCTTCGTGCTTGTGCGAGCAAAGCGTGATCTGAGCTGCCTTCTCTATAAATACTGGTGGGGAGGTTGGCTGTGTTGTCATTTCTTGATTGGTTGATGCCAATCTGCAAACATCAACTCCATCAACCAATTAAGAAATGACAACACAGCCAACCTCCCCACCAGTATTTATAGAGAGACGGCAGCTGAGATCACGCTTTGCTCACACAAGCACGAAGCCGAAAGCACCAGCCTGAAGATGGCGAGTGGGACCTCGTCAAAACGTCACCAAGATACTCTCAATCTTACACAGGAAAAGACCCGAACATGCCAAGACACACACACACATTAAAAATCTATAATCCACTAACCAACATGTTGTTACAGTTACTGTTTGATAAGAAATGGGGAGACTCGGTTCAAATTACTATCCAGCCAAGAAGCTTATTGAGTGACCTTTGGACAGTCACTATCCTCTGAGATTCAACACCTACATTAGTGTTGTTGTGACAATAAAATTGAGAGAGGGAGAGAACAGTGCATACAGTACTGCCTTGAATTCATCCAAGGAAGGTGAACATCATAAAGAAATAATCTGAACAAAGCCTGCTAATCTTTTATTGTAGTGTAAAGCAGTAGTGGGATTCAAATATTTTTGCCACCAGTTCAGTGGGTGTGGCTTGGTGAGCGCGCTTTGCATGCATACACACACTTTGCATGCATATGTGTGCCAATCATGCACTTTGCACAGGCGCAGAGGCGTTTGCGCAGGCACAGAGGCATTCTTAGTCACCTCCTGCAAGCCTGAACAATCCTGGTCGCTTCAGCAGCTGCCGCGCAACACTATTCTGTGCGAAGCAAAGCAGCTGCACTTCAAATTCAGCACATAAAAGTGAGTATGGGAGCCCAGGCAGGCAAATGGGCCCAACAGCAGAGTGGCGTGGAGACCCAGTTCGGTCTCCACTGCTCTTCGCTGCTACCGGCTCACCAGAACTGGGCTGAACCAGTCAAATACCACCACTGGTGTAAAGGCTTTTTGTCAATTTTGGGAAACACCCAGCCAGGCAGGGAGGAGTCCTCAAATGTGGAATTAGCCTGGAATCCTGGTGCAGCCGCAAAAGGACTGACAACTCTCCTCACCCCAAGCTCTATGAAGCCTTATTTATCTGTTCCCAGGCAAAAGCTGGCAGTCTGGGGAGATTCCTGCATAGAGGTATTCCTCAATTACAACCACAATTGAGCCCCAAAATTCTGTTGTTAAGTGAGACATTTGTTAAGTGAATTTTGCCCCATTTTACGATCTTTCTTGCCACAGTTGTTCAGTGAATTGTGCAGTTTGATAAGTCAGCAGCCCAGTGTTAAGTGAACCTGGCTTCCCCATTGACTTTGCTTGTCAGAAGGCTGCAAAGGGCGATCATATAACCCTGGGACACAACAATGGTCATAAATATGGGACAGTTGCCAAGCATCTGAATTTTGATCCCATGGTCAAGGGGCTGTTAAAGGTAAGAACTGTGAAAAATGGTCATAAGTCAAATGTTTCAGTTCCGTTGTAACTTTGAACGGTCACCAAATGAACTATTGTAAGTTAAAGACTACCTGTAATAGGCAGCATGTAATAAAGTAGACAGCTTGAACTCTACATATGTTGATCTGTTGGTTGTCCTGACAACAACTTTCCTGTTATTGTAGCCTTGGAAAGATCAGAAACCAAAAATTTACCAAGGCCACTTTCAGCTAATTTAGATAGCTGAGGAACTACATGAAGTCTAATTTCCATGAGAAGAGAAATTTCTTTTCCAGTCCCTCTTTGACTTCTCTCTTCCTTCTTTTGCACTCACCTTTCTAATGGCACGAATATAGCTAAGATCAACCAAATATAACTTTCATTTGAACTGCAAATCATGTGTATTTCTTGCCTGTTTGATATATGGCTACATAAAGCGTTTGACTTCAAATACCAGAATTTATGAATCAGTTAAGTAACACATTTAGATGTAGCGATCCATAGTGCAACGATAGCTTCCTTCTGAAACCCTACTGACTTTAATGGGACTTGCTTCCACATATGTAAAGTATTTAAAAATCTAATTTACTAATTTCAGTACAGAAATATTATTCATATTCAGACTTAATCAAATTTTGATTTGTACTTATTTTGCATATAAAAATAGCTGACTAATGCAAACTTACATGTCAAATAAAAATTTTCTCTGGAGGTCAGTCTGATTGTTCTGAAATCTGTTGACGTCTAATTGAAGCTTTTCACATTTCCTCTGCAATGTTTTCAAATTCTCTGCAGCATTTTTATTTTTAATAAAAGAGGAAAAAGCAAGATATGAAAGAGCAAAGGTGTTTTTTTTTTCACTAATAAGAGACTGGTCCATAATCATTAGACTAAATAAAACCTATTTTTTCAGTCTTGCCAGACCTATTCTATTTATCTAAAAGAAAGGTCCACTTTATTTCCAGATGTTTTAGACTGCAGTCTTAAAAGTATAATTGCATGATTCTCTTCCAACTTTCTCCTCAATTAGTTTTTATCTCCCTCCCTCCCTCCTTCCTCTTTTTCTTACATAACAAAAATGGATATTGGAATAGTATCCTTCATATGCATTAAAATATGAACAATCCTCAGCATTACTCACACTTCTGAAGAAGCCTTTAAATAAAGAATATTATTTGCTTCTGTCCTGAAAACCAGTAAAGACTCAATATTTCCAATTACTTCAATTTTTTGTTCACAATTTAAGCTTCTAATATTGTAACAATTTATGACTTAAGTCCTAGTATCAATATTGTTTTGTATAGGGGTCTTCAAACTTGACAGCTTTAAGACTTGTGGGCTTCAACTCCCAGAATTCCTCCTCCAGTCATGTTAGCTCAGGAATTCTGGGAGTGGAAGTCCACACATCTTAAACTTACCAAGTTTGAAGACCCTTGGTTTAGTAGGTTGATATTTTATTTTTCTGGACACAACTGTTTATCTGTACACATTCCACACGCTTTTCGCAGGAAGCCATGGTGACAAGATACATGTAAATGACATGAATTACACAATTTGCATGAATTGCATTATGTTATATAATCGTGTTATTTGCATGAGGTCACAATGCATGAGACATGACTTGCTTCCTAGTATCTCCTGCTGATATCTATTTGGAACCACATCAATATATCACAAATTCTTTTTCTTTTAAGGAATAAACAAAGAAACAGATGATCCTTCAAGAATGGCCTTGAAACTCTTTCTTCAAGCATTGTATTTCAAGTTCCTTTTTTCATCCAATTATATATCAGGCTTACATTCTAAATCTATATTCTCTGGTTGTCCTTTTTTACTGTTTCGGAATGGAAAAAAATATCAATAAATACAGAATAAAAGTTGCAATGATGATACTTTACTGAGATTTACCTTGAAGATTCTGGATCAGTTGATCATTTATTGTGATGTTATTTAATAATATTTCCTACAATAAAGAAAAATGGGAAGTTTCATGGTTGAAAAATATCAATTGGATCCATCCTTAAATCATATTTAGAGTACATGTCACATAGTTAAATAGAATGATATTGAAATAATTTCCTCTGCCTGTAACTATGTCTAGATTTCATCTCAAGCCTTCAACGTTTAATTTTTACATTCTCCTATTACTATATAAATGTTAACTAATCTTGGGAAGTGGCATTTGTTTCTTTTTGCAACAGATTATAGTCTGGGTATGTTCTTCAGAAGCCTGTATTGGAATATTACCAAAACCTTGATTTCATTTTGAAGAAAATCAAAACTGTATTTGCTCATCATTTGATCTCAATTCACTTCAAATAACTTACAATTAACTCCACCAATATTTTCTTCTTCCACACTGTAAAATATCCTGAATCAATTTTATTTCTAATTACATTATTCAGCTACACATTCTCTACATCATTCATTTACAGTTGCCAGCTCTGAAGATTATATTACAAATAAGATGTGACACAAACTCAACATTATTAGACCTGAACAAATTTAACTCAGGCAAGGGGGAAAATAATCAAATTAAAAATATGTATTGCATGGTCTGCTTTTTTATTATGGCCTAATTTTTTAATATATCTTTGTTCGTGTAAAAAAGAAAAGACATATTGTTATTACAACTAGTATTTAGTTATCTTATAAAGCAAACCTGTCAATAGCTGTCTGCAATTTGTGGTCTAGCTGGCAAGCAGATGGTACAAGACTACTTCCTGGAAATGTTCTGCTTAAAATCTGTGTAAAATTGTCTAGACAACTAATTTAGAAATGAATAAACTTTCTTCAGCTAACACACCTGTATTTGTAAGAGCTTTATGTCACAGTTAGCATTAATTAATTGTGAGCTGTACTGGATTTCTGTGTAAATTCAGAAGAGGACTTCAGAAAGAAAAACAGCATATTGATAACTTTTATTTTAAAAGCAGATTCTAGCTTAATCTATGGGGTAGAGACTCGTGAAAAATGCGATAGCCCTATCTGAAAACTGAAAATTACATAAGCATTCCAGCCTGTGTTAAAGGCAGATTTGCCAGTAGCCATAATTCAAAGCCACCTGGTTTTTGAAAGACTATGCCTATCTGATATACTCTGTATTTAAGGTTAGTTTGATTAAAATTATGATAAAGGAGCAGCAATATTTTGTTGACTTCAAGGAAATGAGAAGAATGCTCTGTGGGTCAAGATCATGGCTAGGGAGACTGCACAACCTTGGCTGGGCCACCAATTGTAGACCTTCCTCAAGCAACAGCTCTAGGTGACCATAATACATGTTCCATCCCAATTTTGACCAGCTACTAGAATTTTGCATGTGGCATTTTGCAAAAATTGCCCTTGAAGGCTATCTGGAAGCTGCAACTGATGCAAAATACAGCAATTCCTAACCATTCAACATCAATTTTGTTGCACAGTACTGATTGCCGATGCACTTCCATGTACAATTCAAAGTGCTGCTTATTACGTATAAAACCCTTCATAGCTTAATGCCAAGATTCATTCAGGATCATTTCCTTCTGATAGAATCAACTTCCCAGGCAGTGCATCCAGAGTTTGATGATGCTATGCATTTCCCTATATGAATTAATGATCTTTGGTAGTGGCTCTATCCCTTTGGAATTCCTTTCATTAAGTATTTTATTTTATTGTTTTGATGTAAATTCTATGAACTGTTGAGAGTTTTACTGGAGTGGAAATGATTATAAGAATTACTGTTTTTTTTACAGTATTCTAGTTTTCCTGTGTTTGCAATGGAGTAAACTAGAGCTTACAAATTTAATCAACAAGAAGGAAGAGGGGAAATAGTTAAATAAGTTATTTTTGAAGTTGTTAATCTAATTGGTTGATAAATTCAACATGGATAACTGATTTACACTCTCTGCAACATGAAAAACAGATTTCATGTTAGAATCCTGAATTCCCACACTATTGTCATAACGTCTGCCGAATTATCCCTAGAAACTGTATGTTAATTTTTATTAACCAAGCCTTTTCCTTTATGAAAGAACAGACAATGTTAATAGAACATTAATATAAAGTCCAAAAATGAGAAGCAAAAAAATTCTACCTTTTCACCTCTGTGTATTTTGTTGATATTTTCTATCTGGAAATCATGCATAGATTGAATTTTGTCAATCTGTTCCCTCTGTTTCTTTAGTTCTCCTTGGAATTCATTCTTTTTCATTTCTACAGCGCCTCTTTCTGCAGCGGCCCTGCGCATTCTGCCTTCTAATTCCATTAAACGATTCTAAGAGGAAAAGATTTGGAAAAAAAATCTCCATATATACAATACGTATACAGTAGTTATACCTTTATCACAGTTACTGACCAGATTAAGTCTCTCCAGTATACATGAATAATGAGAATTTGTTTTTCCTTTCTGTATCTTCAAAACAAGTCCAAAATTATATTTATTTCTCTATATGCACATATAGAGAGGTTACCATGAAATGCTTATGAATTCTTTAATTCACTAGCTGAATGGGAATCACAGAATTTGAAAATGTGGGTAGAGGAAGGATGGTGAGAATAATGTTCCTTGTAGTTTTGGATCCTCAGGATAGTACAGTAATTGTGAGGAAATACATTAATTGGCTCAGAGAATAGAATTCAGCTGCTGCTAGCAGAAACCGATGGAGAGAAGGTAAGGGGCCAATCTGGAGAAGTCTCTTTTTTTTGGTTGTTGCATTAATAGACTCGTTGCATTTCAATAGTTATCCAATCTAGTAAAGGAGTGCCTTAAAAGCTGTAAAACCAGCTCTGCAATATTTTCCCAACTTTCATCTTTGATCTGGGGCAAGGTGAAGATATTTGGGGGGGGGGGGGGGGAATTAGTTGGCCTCTATTTCCTCTTATTTGAAAAGAGTGATTAATAAGCTTTTCCATGGGAACATGGCCAACTTTCTATACACATAGACACACCTCTTACGGCTAAGAATAATTGCACAACTTTATTTTAATACATTTACCCAACTATTTTAAATTTCATTGTATTTGTAGAATGCAATGACAATAAAGGTATTCTATTGTATTAAAAATGCACCACGTATATGGGTCATACACTCCAGCCACAATCCAATGACTTTTTTAGCAGTTCAAGTGCTATTTATGTCTGCCTGAATGTTTATATTTAGCATTGGGAATACAGAATAGGAGACTCTGTGTTACTATGAAATGTGATCTACTGCAACATCTGTGAAAAAGATACTGATATAATGATGCTTCGGGAGGATAAAGGGCTCCAGAGAGACACTGCCATTTATCACAGGTGGATCTGTGCATTCTTATGAGGCAAAATGGGACAAGGATTGGAGTAGCCAAAACCATGAGATAGCAGAACCAAGAAGGTTACAATTAATTCCATATACTGAGTTAAAATAAGAAGGCTGCTGGCCTGTTTGCATATACTCAGAGTAAACTGAAAATGGTCTTTTCAATCATATAAAATTAATCTGAAGTCATGCCCAATAGTATTTTTTAAGGCAGCAGTCAGCATTGTGCAAAGTTAAAGGTGCCAAAGGTATTTGAAAAATGAACAATAAATGGTGAGACACTCATGAAACATTAAATGTCAATACAGATATTTTAAGATTTGACTGCCCCATGAGATTTGGAAAAAATGGCAGAGGTCAATGAATGCTATCTAGTGACGTCTTTGATACCACAAGGCTCAAGAGCACCATGCTGCTTATCCCTGGTATAAAATTACATTTCCTAGTTGAACAGGATGCAATCTTTTCAAGGTACTTTTCTTCTTCCTTATTTGCTAATTTGCCAAATGTTTGTCAGATAGAATTATTCTAAAGTGCACTGTAATCTTGAGATAAAAACCAACATTTTGAAATAAAATATACATTGATTCACTCATTGTGAAAAACCAACAAAAGAGCAATACCTGCAAATCAACACTACGGGAACTTGCTATCCAGTAATTAAATCCCAAAACAATTATACAAGCCACAAGCGCTGCTACTAGAAGAGGTGGTGATTTTATCCCACGACGACTGTTTCCTAGCCCAACCATCTTAAAGCTACAGATTTCTGTTGGTTTAAAAAGAGAAATGTTTATATTTACCTTTGCTGATTAATGAAAATTTCCAAGCAATTAAAAAAAAACTTGCCAGTAACAGTATCTGCTCAGAAGATGCTTAAGGCTTGATGAGTTAAAAAATGTGTGTGTATACATATACTGTATATCTATATATCTCCATAGGAAAAAACACAATAAACATATAAAAGCATAATAATCTATGTTTTATGACACATTTTAACAGCAGCAACATAGAATTTAATCATAATATTGTAATCCAAATATTAGAGTCAGAAAGTGGAGCTTTCTGTAATAAATATCTGTTTATCCAGAATACCATCACGGAAAAGATGAAATAAAAGAATTCCATTTGCTCTTGTATAAATTGCAATGCAGCATTACAGGGAGAAGGATTTCAGTTTGTCCAAATCAAAAGTTCATTTGGATTAGAGGATTTTGAAATATCTGCCCAGAAGAAGAGCTGATGATTATGCACTCTGCTGTGCTCAAACAAAGTCTTTTCTGAGGACCTTTCGCTACTTAAACTAGATAACATCATCAGTGTTAGTAAGGAGTGTTGTTTGTTCTCAGTTTATATTCTAGTGCAGGGGTGTCAAACTCACATCATCACGGCGATGTCACATGATGAATCGGGACTTTCCCCCCCCTTTGCTAAACCGGGCGTGGGTGTGGCGTGACACATTTGGGCTGGGAGTTTGACAGCCCTATTCCAGTGGCTTGCCCTGCCAATGTTGGTAGGGGCAGTCTTGGAGTTTCTTTAGTTGGGCTTACTGTTGGCTTCTTTAGAAGTTTTTCTCAACCTCAAGGACTTTTCTCAAGTTCTTTCACACGCTAGGGGATGTGGGAGATGAGAAATATTTGGTTGGCCCTCAAACTTCTCTTAAAATCCTCACTTTGCTTTTAGGTGATGTCCTATTATTCTCCAGTTGGTACTCCATATGCTTTGAGTGAGTACATGTCTGGCCTTTTAATAACCCAGGCTAAGAAGGAACCAACCAAAAGGTCCCAGTTTGAGTGCTACAGCATTCTTCCAAATTGGACAATGCTCCTCTGATAATACAAGGCAAATAGGCTGATGGGGAAGAACTGAATATGTAGCCAATAACTGATAGACATGCCCACCACAATTCACAGAACAGTGTTGGCTACACATCTTAGGGCAGCAAGAATATTTTTCAAAAAATTCATTTCTATCAGTTTGATAGTATTCTTCAGGGCATCAATTCCCACATGTGCTCTGTATAGGATTTGACATTATGAGATTTACTCTTTCCAATAACAAAACCGGGAGCTATGCTTCAAACTTCACTAGTTGCATTGTAAGGTTATGTAGCATATACTCTGGATCTGCATATAATACAGTTCTATAACATTTTCCTACCCCAATACAGGCATTTATTTGACCTGGTCTTAGGATACACTACAACTGTTAAATATCAAAAAAAGTGAGACTTGGCAATTACTGACACTTTGAATTAACATCTGCCAAGTTTTAATGTGATTTTGATGTTCTTGCACTATAAGATTTATATGATTGTTTGACATTAAGCAGGGCTACCCAGTGTGCTATTATAATCTGCTATTTATAATTTAAGCAACCCCTTGAATAGCAATAGCAATAAGACTTATATACCACTTCACAGTGAATTAAAACCCACAGTGAATTAAAACCCTTTATAAAGTCAGCATATTGGCCCCAACAATCTGGATCCTCATTTTACTGACCTCTAAGGGATAGAAGGCTGAGTCAACCTTGAGCTCATGAGGATCAAACTCCTGGCAATCAACAGAATTACCATATAATATTGCATTCTAACCACTTTGCCACCAACCTCCTTGCCTTTTTGCTTTCAGGCACTCATGTTCAAACAACATAAAATCAACATAAGGCTTATATTAACTTATTTATGTTTTTTTTCTATTCACCCAGATCAGATTTCATTTGTGTCATCAGCTGTTCCAATATCCTAAGTGGGATTCAGGGGTGGTTCAACTCTTATCATGCCTCTGGATACATACTCCAGTACAATAGTTCTTTATTTGAGGATATTTCAATTCAATTAATCTGGCTAATGTTTTACTGAATGACTTGGGAAATGGTCGTAGTGAGTCATATTACAGGAAGTTAGCCAGTGGTCAACAGTGGGCTTTCTACCATTCCTCCAAAGGTACATACAGCCAGACAGTTCCTGGCAAGCAAGTTATTTCATATGCACAAGTCCAAAGCAGAGCGAATTATTTGATGCAGAGACCAGCCAAGTTACTTCAGATTCTTTGCAGCACTTGGTAATAAAGGGGTCTTTAATATTTCTTCCTCAGAGCTATGCTAAGCTTCTCAAAAAGAGCCTCATTGTTAAACTCCATCCTAGCATTTAGATCAGAAGTCCCAAACCTTGGCAATTTTAAAACTTGTGGACTTCAACTCTCAGAATTTTCCAGCCAGCTATGCTATGTTGGCTGGAGAATTCTGGGAGTTGAAGTCCACAAGTCTTAAAGTTGCCAAGTTTGGGGACCCCTGATTTAGATTTTTCTGAAACTAATAAAACTGAGGGTCCTGGATGGGCTTCAGTGAAGAAGACTACGTTAACTGATTCATTTGCAGAGGGCTCTGATCTGTACCTGTATTCTAAGCCAAATGCATAAATATTAATATTAAACATAATTTCCATCAATTTGAAGTATAGCAAGAAAGTTACTTCCAAATGTTCCATGAGTGGAAAGGATAATAATTTTCTTCCAACGCTGTGGTGGTCAGAAGTACTATTCTATCTTTAAGGTTCCCATGTGCCTTGCTTTGAAATGCTTTGCATTAGTTGATGTGATAAATATCCAGGTCCATATTAGTCAATATTAGAGTCCATTTCTTGCAAATGTCATGCAAGAAAGGAATATCCTAGTTGGAGAGATGCTTGAAAAACTGTTGATCTTTAAAATAGAAAAGCCATCCTGCTGTATTTTATGACATGGATGATATTCTGCATGATTTATTTAAAAATTAACAGAATAACAGACTTGGAAGAGACCTCGGAAATCTCCTAGTCCAACCCCTGCTCAGACAGGAACCCCATCACCAGTAGTGGCTAACCTTTTTGGGCTCCTGTGCCAAAATTGTGCACGCTTACATGCTCACACTCACATGCCAGCACCCAGAAGGCATTGTGCACCCCCTCCACGCCCCCTTCACATGCATGGACAATCCCCACCCTCCCACCCCCACTGCCACCTAACCTGCACTGTGCCTCACAGCTGATTTTTAGCCGGTTTGAGGACTTTTTTGGCCTCCCAGGGGTTTGAGGAAGGCTTCTGCAGGCTTTGTAGGCCAAAAACTAGCCCCGTTTCATCATTTCCGGTATTTTGGGGAGGCCGAAAAAGGCCTCAAACTAGCCGAAAAATCAGCTGTGAGGCACACGCATGCACAGTGAGGTAAGTTTGCCTGCAGCTCGTGTGCCGGCACAAATGGCTGTGCGCCACCTGTGGCAGGCATGCCATAGGTTCACCATCACGGCCCTATACCATTTCAGACAAATGGTTATCCAATCTGTTCTTAAAAACTTCCAGTGTTGCGACTTCCGGTTTGAACTCTCTTTGGCGACAGACAGAAATCCGTGATTGTGCGCGGTTTCGGTCAGGGCTTGCTGCTGGAGCACCCTGAGCCGGCTGGTTTCGGGGCTAGGCCACCCCGTAGAGGTAGCGAAGAGGGGGGAGACTGCCAGCAGGGTTGAGGAGAGCCGCATCTCTCCTCCTCAGCTGGCCATTACTCCCTTTCCTGAAGGCGGTTGCAGCGGTGGTCAGAAATGGCCACCTCAAAGAAGAACTCGACCGGAAAAGAATGTGCAGGAGGAAGATAAGAAGTGAAAGTTTTGGCTGACCAGGTTAAAGTGTAAAAGCAACAACTAAGGTACCCTGGAATTTAAAAAATAACATCGCTCCCAAAGAAGAGTCAGAAGCAGCGAAGGAAAGGTTTGGCTTTTTTTTTCTTCTCTCTCCTTCCCTATACTGACAATTAAGAGACTTAAATAAGAAATCAGAAAAATCCACTTTGACATCAATAGGCAATTAAGCTGAAAATAAAACAAAATGCCAAAGGAATAATAAAGATTTCTGGACACTATTTTTTTTTTTCATAAGCAGGAAGGGAGAGAAAAAGAATAAGGGCAGGATCTGGAAAAGGGAGGAGACTGCCTGGAATTAAAAAGAATCCACAGTAAAACTTCAACAAGACTTCTAAAAGATACATTTTAACTGAAACTTTGTAACTAAACAGTAACCCCAGAAAGAGAAAGTGAAAAAAAAGAGCAAAAAGAAACAGCTTGCGTGTATTTGGATTACTTGGTGATGTCTGGATTCTTGGTTATTACATTTGAATGACTAAAATCAAGTGGGTGATTGTTTAAAAATTTATACAATGGTACCACTTCTGGATGAATTGAAAATGGAACTTTAAAGGTACAAAGAAGATGCACAAGAAGGGAAGGGTTCTTTTGGCTCCGTTTTTCAATTTTTAGAAATGGAGATTTGGAACTATGAGAAACAACAAGAAACGTCTGCAAAACAAGAAGACTGGGACAAAGAAGAAGCCATCTCTAATGAACAAGTAATTTTATGTGGGGAAGAAAAAGGAAAGGGGGGAAAGAGAATGGAGAATTTAAGACTTAAAAAAACAACCAAAGAAAAGAAAAATAATTTGAAAAATAAGTATAATACTGGAAAGCAACAGAAAAGGGGAATACAGAAGAGAGAAATAGAGGCAGAGAGACAAGGGGGTAAAAAGGGGAGAGAGAAGAAGAGAGGGAAGAAGGAAAGGAAAAGAAGTTACAAAGGACTGGAGCAAGATATAAACAGGACCTATTTAGAGATAATGGGTGAAAATCTAACTGAAAAAGGGGTTCTGTAAATGTACATAAGATTGTATTGTTATATTAGTAATAGAAATAACTTTAGAAAATTGAAAACAATGTATGATTAAAATGAGGGATAAAATAGTGTAATT